CCTTCTGAGCGACAAGACTGGCATCATGATACCTTCTACTGTGATGCTTCTTCCATCACTTCAAGCGGCCTGAAGTGTTTAATGTTCTTGTAATTTCACTGTCTACCCATTCATTATGTACGCTTGTTGGATACATGATCTGTGCTCAGGTCTAAGTAGCCGATCAGTGTCTACTGTTTCTTCGAATGGTCAAAGTTATACTTTCGTCTGATCGGTTGTCATGCCTGTGGCCGAGCCTACCAGTCAGCCGCCGCCTTGTTGCCTTCGTTGAGGTTCACGGCCGGATCACATAAAGACATCGGCTGGCCGGATCTACGCGAAAGCCTCGGCGAGAGTTCGGCTCGAGTGAGCCAGAGACAGATGGCCGGCAGGGTCAAATGTTGTTGATTGTCAAGCGTCTCCACGTGCCATTCGTGCGCCAGTCGAGGTGCCGGACCTGCTCGTGTCGACCAAACAAGCACTTTCTCGCCACGTGGCAACCAACTGCCGTCTCTTAGGCGGATTCGGGTCAACAGGACGGCGTCATGGCGACCGGTGGGAAGAGGGGAACGCGTGTAGAGCGGGGCAACTAGACGGGAGTTGTACACCAGGTCCTGAACGCGTTCGGAGAGCTCCATAAACTGCGTCTATAGACAAAGTCAGGCAGAAAATAACGAAAAATAAGCAACCTTGTTGATTTTCATAACAAATACAACTTTTGAATATATGAAGACCAAGATGTTGTGGCGTCTGTTATGGTCGCAGTCTCCTTTCGATTTATTTTAGTTGGTCGACCTCGTTGTCGCAACTTGGTCTTGTTGTCAGGGAGACTATGTAGAACGCTCCATAGTAGTTGTCATGGTTCCCAGCATCTGACAGTGGATTTGATACATTCTCAAAAAATGTATCAAGAATGTATCAAGTCGACTGTCAGATGCTGGGAATAATGACAACCACTATGGCAGACGACTTTGGATTAGGTGCGTTCTACATAGTCGCCCTGACAACAAGACCAAGTTGCGACAACGAGGTTGACCCACCACAAATACAACTTTGCTTCATCAGAATGTTATATGGGAAAATGCCTGGCTCTCCTTGAAAATCACATCTACCCTCTGAACCAATGGCACTCGTGGTATTGTGGCTTAGTGGTTAACGTGTCGAGCTTACACGCTTCATTGCCATGGTTCGACTCCCTCCGGGGGTGTTGATATGATCTAGGCGAGGTCAAAACTGCAGTCAAGCCTGGAGGAGAACCCCATTTTGGAAAATATAGATGTGTGAAATTGAATGGAAACGTCGGCTCTACTCATATCATCGTAGGAAAATTAAACTACCAGTCCTATTATCATCCAAAATGAAATATGACTAATACACCTTGTGTATAGGAAGGGAGAGAGCTGTCACAGATCGTCTCACCACGACCATCAGCCCATGTCTTTGAACGGGAGATAAAGAGTGATAGTGGACTTTTTTCGCGCAATGATACAGGTTAGTCTCAAGAGGTCATTGAATTCCATTCAGTTATGAGTAAGAGTTCTGGGCATCCTTGAAAGCATAAGATGATGACAGACGGATAGTTTAATTTTCCACAATCATATAAATAATTCTCATGATGTCATTTTATTTCACTCAACCTTAACTAAGAGTTATACTCACTTTTGTTTTCTTGACTCGTTCATCACCTTACCCGAAATAGGGTGAATACATCTCATTAGCTTGAATTTAGTTGTAACGATGATACCGGAATAGAAGGAGATTGCCTCGGAAACAGCGTCAGCATGAATGTTCCAGTAAAGCCTATCGCCATCGTCTTCTGGTGGAATCGACCTTCGAATCTCTTCACGCAACACTTTCACTTGAAATGGAAGTAAGCTCAACAGAAGATATCTAGTCTGCATACCAGATTGGATAAGAAAACCTCTTGTTGAGGAAATATATGGCATCAAGGGGCCTAATAAGTTGATGTACTAAATTCTCCTGTCCGTCTCTTTATTCTCCAAAAAACCTAGATCGACGCAACTTAATGTTAATGCCCCAAAAGCAATTGGCATTACAACTCGTTTTCACTAATTGCTCGTCTGTTCAGGCTGGACGCAAAGTGCCTTACGTCCTATATCATTGCTGTCAGGTTGCCTTCCAGGATCGCGTCTTGGATCGGTACATTCCCAG